ACTGACCCACATTCTTAGCCACTCTGCTTAAAGTGCCAGTGATAGAGAGTAACTAACTAACTGGGGAGGGGGAAGGAACAGCCCTTTGAAGAGGTGACAGCTGAGCTGAGACCTGATGTGTGAGAATACACCAGGCATCTTGTGAAGTGCAAGCATAGAGCCTGGCTGGGGAAAAGATTTCTTTGAGGAGAGAAGGGAGGTCAATGTGCCTGGAGCTGAGTGAGCCAAGGAGAGGGAAGTGGGGAACTAGGGAACAGGATGAGAGGGAAGTGCACGTGTATCTGGGGGCTTTGGGGGCCAGGGTAAGGGCTGGAGTTTTATTCCAAGAGGAGTAGAAAGCCACTAGAGAATTTTAAACAGAGGAGTGGTGTGATCTGGTGGGGAATTTTAAAGAATCAGTCTGGCAGCCTTGTGGAAAGGATTGTAGACTACTTAGGGGACTTCTTCCAGAGTTCATTGAAAGGGTGCTGGTGGCAGGCCCAATAGTGGTGGCCATGGCAGTGGAGAGAAGTGGATGGAGGTTTTAGAATAGAACTTACTGGGTCTGCTAGTGGCCTGAATGTGATGAGGGACAAGAGAGTTGGAGATGACACCTGGGCTTTTAGTTTGAGCTGTTGGAGGATGAATAGTATCATTTACCCAAAATGGGGAAGGTTGTTGGGTGAGGAGCAGAGAAGGGTCAAGAGTGAAGTTTTGGACATGCTTGTTCTGTTTGAAATGTATATTAAGACGTCTAGATGGCAATGTCTAGTAGGCAGCCTGGTACGTGAAACTAGACAGAGCTTGGGAGCAGTCTGGGCTGGAGATAGAAACGTGGGAGTGGCATGTGGAAGTTTGAGATGCATGGGAAAAGGGAGACACGCAGGGTAGTGGGCAGGTTAAATGCTTTGCAATACCATTCAGGTTTTCTTGTTATTGAACAAAGTCCTGAAAATAGAGATAGCAACACCAAAGTAAATACATTCACCACGGTTTGCAGTATGGTTTCTAGCAGAGAGACTTCATTCTGCATGTGACTGAAGTTTCCACATACATGTGCTCAGGTGTCCTTGTGCTTAAACCTAATCCTCCCTAGTATGCTGGCCTGGGGTCTCCAAAGTACATGATGGCCTAGATGTGGGTGCTGGCCCACTCACTAATTGGAACATAGGGGTGACCTAAATCCTGAGAAAGATTCAGGGCTTACACAACAATAAAATCCATTCTTTCAAATTAGTTTAGAATCCATTAATTCAATTACAATTTTTAAATTGTATGTTCAAGTACATAATTAATGGCCCAAGTTGTATATTACAAGTGTATTTTGTAAACTTTCTAATTGAATAATGAACTCATTTTTATTTGATATTTTTATTTTCTGTTGTAAATCAAGCTTTTCATAGCATTTGAGCAAGATCCCTATGTTAATTTGCAGATGGGTTGATTGTGAATTTACGCTTTAAAATATTTAGGAACATACATACTGTCCCTCACACACACATTATTTCATTTCTGTTGCCACAACATTCCACACTCTGTTCCTGTTGCTAAGGCCCCTGGAATGTCCCAGTGCAGAAAAAGGATATAGAACTCCTTTTTTTTTTTTTTCTGAAGAAGACATTTTATTTAAATTATTTTGTATCCTCTAGTTAACTTCCAAATATGGATATCTGAAAGTAAAGAATTCAGAAAGCTAAAATTAAAGTTGCTTTATGTTTTAATAAAAGGAGCTCAATTTCTTTTTCTTTTTCTTTTTTTGAGACAGAGTCTCACTCTTTCACCCAGGCTGGAATACAGTGGCATGATCTTGGCTCACAGCAACCTCCACCTCCCAGGTTCAAGTGATTCTCCCGCCTCAGCCTCCTGAGTAGCTGGGGTTACAGGCGCCTGCCACCACACCCAACTAATTTCTGTATTTTTAGTAGAGACAGGGTTTACCATGTTGGCCAGGCTGGTCTCGAACTCCTGACCTCAGATAATCTGCCTTCCTCGGCCTCCCAAAGTGCTGGAATTACAGGCGTGAGCCACTGCACCGGGCCCAAGGAACTGCATTTCATAGGGTAGAATGAACTGGGTTTAAGTATACCATGTTTCTTTCCACAGAGGGAGCATGTGTGTGCATGCTTTTTAGAGAAATTCAGTATGCTCATGAGAAATTAAGAACCGAGTTTTCCTGTCACACAAACGAGAGTCCTGGTTATGCTACTTTCTTGCTGAGTGATATTAACTAAGTTTGTTTCTCCATAAGTAAAATGGGGATTATTTTGTAGGGTTATTATTAGAAATAAATGGGAAAAACCATATAAGAACTGCTTGGCATAGGGCCTGGCACATAGTAGTCTCTCAATAAATGTCAGCTGTTTATCATCAGTTGCAGTTGATCTTAAGTTATTGAGGAAATAGACATTTTTACAGAAGTATAGATTCTTGGTTCCTTACAGGATAACCCCTACCTTTTTAGTTTTACTAGTCATAAGTCTCAGAAAAGGATCAAAGGAACCAGGGCAAAAAAGAATAATATTGTAATAATAAACATCATGTGACAAATTGAATTCTTATTTGAAAGGATCAGTTTAGATTTTTATTTCTCTTAGTTGCTTTATTTTTTCAGGGGTAGAGGGTTAGTCCGCAGAAGAATCTGGTATCTGGCAAAGTGATCTATTTTAAGTAACATTGCTTTATATTCAGAACTGAGGGAAATCAGAGACCACCAGCAACGCATTGCAGAGACCTAAAACTAAACTAAGACTGTTTATTTACTACTATTTTAATTGCTATATAATAATAAAACGAATTGAGTTGATTTCATTAATGAAATTGTTCATTTGATATCTATCTTACACTTTTCAGTTGTAAATTATGAATGTTATACCAGTTCTGTAATTTAGATGTATCAGAGGCATTTAGCACAAAAGCGTATGGAACTTAACGGTAAACTACTTTAAATTTTATTTTTCAGAATGAAATGTCATGTCAAGAAACTGTAATCTTAGGTGACTTATTACAAGTATATCATTGCATAGATATAACCTATCCCCTTCTCCCACATGTACTATATTTAACTCAATGTGGGCAGGCTTTCAAGGAAAATAGCATATTGTTTGGCTCTTATTTTTTATTAAATAAGCATAGTCACAGAAGTCTGTAGTCTACTGGAAGCTTCATATCTAATCAGTTTATACCGTCAAAGATGGTCAGCCCTGACATTCCATTTTATTGACATTGGAATCTGGAAGGAATCTCTAAATATCATTATTCCTCTGGTCTGCAAGAGGTAAGAAATCCAAGCCACATTATAAGTCAGAATTGAATTCCAGCTGTTGACCTTAGACAAAGTACTTTACCTGTCTGTGAGTCAGTTTTCTCTTCTTTAGAGGAGGGATATAATGGTATCTACCTAGGTAGTTGTGAGGATAAAATGAAATAGTAGCACGTAAAAACTACTCGGTGCTGCAGGTACATCCCCAAATCATGCTGGACTCTATATTTCAGATTATAGCTAGCTATCTGTGCAATTCAGTGTAATAGAAACTGTTGAAGAAAATTCAAGCTATAGCCATGTGTAGATACTAGATCAGTAATTTGATATTTTAGAGATTATCATCACTTGACATCTCCTTAGGGAATTTTCTTCTCCCTTTAAAACCACCAGGATCTCCCAGGCTGGAGAAAGTGTGAAATTAAATCTTCATAGGAAAGAAAGCAGATGCTAATCAGCTTCTTGGATCTTCCCCCTTGTCCTTTAAACTTGGTATTTGATCTACTAAAACATTTGCTTAAATTGAAGTGTGCTAATTATCCATTTATTGCAGATACTCTAAATAGTGAATATGGTGTAAAATGCTTGTTTAAAATCCACTGATTTTGAAATACTTAAAAAGTTAGATTCTGGATCTAAACTTTTAGCTCTGTTCCCCAAATTGTTGTTCATAATTAATTGTTCATAGTTGAGATGTTTTAGTTAACCATATTTACCAGGTATCAAGTTACTTTCAGTTTTCATGTATATGCATATAGTTTTGTTTTACTTTTGCGTTTAATTAAGTTGCTGTCTTAACTGTTAAAACAAACAGTTCATATCCTATCCTATTTTGGTAACCAAACTGATTAATGTATGAAATGCTGTTTGTACTAAAGTTCAGTCTGTCTTTCTGGTGGCATCAGTATGTAAGCAAAAGGACTAGAGGTTGCTATGACTTGGAAAAAATATATGAAAATAATTTTCATTATATGACATGCTGGCAAACCAATTTTACTCCTCTCTGAAATCTCTACTCCCTTTCTTAATTGTTCCGCAGAACCCAGGAACCAAATAGCTAGAATAGAATGCACAGTTAAACAAATAAAAGCATTAGATGGTACAGCTTTGTGAACGAAGCATTTTATATGGTTGCAGATTCTTTCCCTTAACTCTTGGTAGAGTTCATCTAATGTTGCTTTATTGTACGAATGTATTCATTGTTTGCATTTTAAAAGATTGTCTGTTTCACCTCATAATAATTATTTTTGGCACACTTTAACCCTTTTTAAAGTGTCTGTGTAAGCCTGATTTGATTTCTATTTAATAGTGGTGGTGCACCACATCAGTTCATTTGTCCTGGTACGCTTTATAATAGGCAACTCCTTTAGAAAGTATTGTTTCCTGGCAATCACTCCTGTAATCTCAGCGCTTTGGGAGGCGGAGGTGGGCAGATCACGAGGTCAGGAGATCGAGACCATCCTAGCTAACATGGTGAAACCCCGTCTCTACCAAAAAAAAAAAAAATACAAAATACAAAAAATAAGCCGGGCGTAGTGGCGGGCGCCTGTAGTCCTAGCTACTCCGGAGGCTGAGGCAGGAGAATGACATGAACCCGGGAGGCGGAGCTTGCTGTGAGTCGAGATTGTGCCACTGCACTCCAACCTGGATGACAGAGCAAGACTCCATCTCAAAAAAAAATAAAAGAAAGTATTGTTTCCCAAAATGGTTTTACATCAATCAGAACCAGATGAGTGAGTGATGCTCTGTTTCTCTGTTGCAGACATGCCAATATTTGGTTTCTGTCCTGCCCATGATGATTTCTACTTGGTGGTGTGTAACGACTGTAATCAGGTTGTCAAACCGCAGGCATTTCAATCACATTATGGTAAGTGCTTAACCATTTAAAAAATTGTTATTAGAAGATAAAAGGTAAAGCAAGATTAAACTAAGGAACAGTGATGGCATGCATAGGGCACAATGTCCCTCCCCCACCAGGAGGTAGACTTTTTAATTCACTGAATGGGTTAATAACAACCCATTGTTGTTGGATATTTTTAAATTTTTATTAAAAGTGATATGAATGTTTTGGCTTTTATTGAAACTAGAGAAAGTATAGTTCATAAAATCTCTTGTAAAATGTTACATCAGTATAGTTACCAGTTTGTTTCCTTCTAGAGCCCCTGGTTGTGTATTCAGTGGATTTTAAAATTATATATTACACTCACAGTATGGCTACATGGGCTTTTTATTTTTATTTTTATTTATTTACTTTTTTTTAAGGAAATGTGATTTTGAAACTTCTCAGTTCAATAGTTCTAAATTTTGGGTGTTAATTGTTGAAGAGTCCAAATACAGTTGTTTGGCATTGTCATAATGCCTTTACAGTGTTTAAGATAAGATTCTGATTCTAAAAACCTTGATTTTCTGCCCAGTTTTGCTCAATAGCAAATCATAAGTATTTGAATACCTACCTTGTTTCAGGCATTGAGTATGTAGTATGATTCTTACTGCCACAGAGTTTACAGTCTAACTGGAGAGGCAGGCAAAACTAACTAGATACACTTTAAAAATAACTATAGGTTTTTTCCTCATTGCTCTTACTACTACAAATGCAAGCCTTGCAATAGAGAGTGACAATGGGGTTCTTCTATAGATAGAGTGTTTAAAGACAGCATCTTAGGAGGTGACACTGGAGCTGAGTCCTAAATGATAAGAAGGAGCAACTCGGGCAGCGATCTAGAATAAGAGCGTTTGATGCAGAGGGAACAGCCAGCACACAGACCTGAAGAAGGCCTGTGTGGCTGAAGGGTATTTAGTATTTAGTGAAGGGAGGTAGAAACTGGAGGAATCCAGCATTATAAGCAGGAACCTGATCATTCATAGGCCAGGCTAAGAAGCGGCTTGGGCGCACCGGAGGATTTATGTAAGAGAGTAACACAGTCCTATTTCAGTGGTTGATTTGCTGAGAATAAATTCTGGGAGAAGGGCAGAAGCAGGGAGAATAGTTTAGAGGCAAGAGATGACATTGGACTGAGAGTAAGATCTGGCAGTAGAGCTAGGAAGACTGCATAGCTTTGAAATACTTTTGTTGTTTTTGTTTTGTTTTGTTTTGTTCTTTTTTTGAGACAGTGTCTCACTCTCTTGCCCACGTTGGAGTGCAGTGGTGCGATCTCAGTTCATTGCAACCTCCGCCTCCCAGATTCAAGCAATTCCCTTGCCTCAGCCTTCCTAGTAGCTGAGACTACAGGCGCCCGCCACCACGCCCAGCTAATTTTTGTATTTTTAGTAGAGACAGGGTTTCACCATGTTGTCCAGGCTGGTCTCAAACTCCTGACCTCAAGTGATCCACCTGCCTCTGCCTCCTAAAGTGCTGGGATTACAGGCATGAGCCACTGCGCTCAGCCAAGAAACATTTTAAAGTTAGAATTTACCGATCTTGCTGTTGAGACTGCTGTTGTTGGATTAAGAGTCACACCATCATAAGCAACATTCCACCGTTTTTTTCAAGGAATAAATCCTCTATTTAACCATAAAAAGATCATTTGAGTTCCTGCTTCTAGAAGAAGCGCTGGGGTAGGCACTAGAGTGGGTACAGAGGTGGATAAGATGTCATTTCCCTGCTTCTGACTTGTGGACAATACAGACAATATTTTGGAAAAATCACTTGTAATCCACTAAAATGGGAGGTGTGTCAATGGGGACAGACAGAGCTGCCACATATGGCTACACAGTTTGTGCACTGAACAGCCGTATTTGGTGGCCCCAGGTTGGCAACAAGGTTGACGTGAGCAAGCACAGGAGCAGGAAATTCCAGGCTCTCTGGGATGTGCTGCGTGAGTCACCATTGGCCAGAATTGATGTACCCACCTGTGGATGAGTGAAGCTCAAAGGCAGGCGGGGACTAGCTCACAGGGCATCAGTGCCCATGAGTCCCCTGCTCTGGACGTCTCAGTGAGGACCTGTTGCAGATTTTTTAGAACCAAAGTGATGTGACTTAGTGGTGCCCCAGAGAATTGATGGGTAGAGTGGATTCCTTAGGCAGAAGGAGGATCTCTTGGTCCCCTCTTCTAGGAGTATTTTATTCACTGGTTACAGCATATTTATATGAATTTTTTTTTTTTAATCTTCTCGTTTCCCCTCTTAGAATGTCAGTGTATGGGTAGGAAAAAGTGTTTTTTTGTTTTGTTTTTGTTTTGTTTTGTTTTTTTAGACAGAGTCTTGCTTTGTCGCTCAGGCTGGAGTGCAGTGGCGTGATCTTGGCTGGCTGCAACCTCTGCCTCCTGGGTTCAAGCAATTATCCTGCCTCAGCCTCCTGAGTAGCTGGGATTACAGGTGCATGCCACTATGCCCGGCTGATTTTTGTATTTTGGGTAGAAATGGGGTTTCACCATGTTGGCCAGGCTGATCTGGAACTCCTGACCTCAAGTGATTTGCCCGCCTCGCCTTCCCAAAGTACAGGGAATATGGGCATGAGCTACTACTCCCAGCCAGGAAAGTATCTTAAAATCACATTTTTCTGTCTTTCTCCTTTCCTGCCTTTCAGTCCCTCGCACAATATCTCCTAGTAAGATACTTGTTGAATAACAAAGGGTTGGTGTTAACTTCAAACATGTAAATGGAAAAGTGTGAATGCACTCCAGGGTCTCCTGTGGTTTGGCAGGAGGTGTGACTGACAAAGTCACTAGGTGGGAGGCTGAGGTGACAAGGGAAGTATTAAAGATATGAGAGAGGAGAGTTCCTGGCAGAAAGATGAGGGCCAAGTGCTCTGAGGGAGTTATTCTGCCGGGAAATGTGTAAGGAGTGCCCTCTTTGAATCAGCAGTAGAGGAGATGGCTGCTGGTGGAATTGACAAGAGGTTTAGGGTGAATGTGGGTTTGGGAGAGTAACTGCATGAAGTAGAGGGAGGTACCATGTGGTGGCCCTGGAGGGACTTCCCCCGACTCACTTGGAGGAAAGGAGAGGTGGACAGGGTTCCCAGGACCAACAACCTTTACCGGTGCTGCCACAGTCTCTTCTATCTTTTGGGGACAGGGGTTGTGACAGGAAAGATTATTTTTGGAACATTTTCTTTTTTGTTGAAATTTTTAGAAAGCCAGTTGTTGCATTATTGTTTTCCATAGTTAACAAAAAACAGTTTTCAAATTCAGAATCTTTCAGAGTGACTGTTGTAGTTTATTTAGCTGCCAAAACAGGGATGGTACTTTCTTTCAGTGATAATGGCGAAAATGTGTTGGTAGTCTTCTGTGAATTCATATATTGCTGTTATCTGTCTGTGACTTTTATGAACAAATAAATAGTTGCTACAAACTCCAGCAGGCAGTTCCTTTAAAACCACTGCTACCAGGACAAGAAAACATGCCACAGTGGCAGCAAGTCTTGTAAAGTCAGTCAGTGCTGGTGGTAAAAGTATTCTGAATTGGTGAGCAGCTATTATTCAGAGTAGTTAAGAAGCCATGTACTTTTTTGCTAGCCAAGCTGCAGTTTGAGGAGTTAACAATTAACCAGGATTTCCATTTGAGCAATGATGGTGAATGATTGTGGTGCCATTTTGGCATTTCCAGTTTTTCAGTCTGATTGCTCTCATAGCATAGTTTGCTTTCTTGGAAACTACATAGTAATACCATGATTTCTTGATGTTATTTTAATGTTTTAAAATACTCCAGTGTGCCTCATATTTCTCTTCAGTTACTTAGTATTTTTAGGAGTAAGCTGTGAAACCCCATCTCTACCAAAAATACAAAAAATAAGCCGGGCGTGGTGGCGTGCACCTATAGTCCTAGCTACCTGGGAGGCTGAGGCAGGATAATGGCTTGAACCTGGGAGGCGGAGCTTGCAGTGAGCCGAGATTGTGCCACTGCACTCCAGCCTGGGTGACAGAGCGAGACTCCATCTCAAAAAAAAAAAAAGAGTCAGGTGTTTCTTACTGCTAATTTCAGATTTAAAAATATAATTCAAATCAGTGGATCCCAAACCTGCTGTGCATCTGAATCAGAGGAGCTTTCTAAGTGAGCAGCTTCCAAAGGCCCGCTCCAGATGCTCTGCATGGGAATTTCAGGGATAGAACCCAGGATCTGCATTCTAAACAGCTCCCTGGGCTGATTCTGACACACTGGCTGGCTGGAATGCATTGCTTTCACAGATGCAGATACAGTCCACTCTGGTGGAGCTGCTGCTTGGTACACACAGTGGCTAACATATAGTGACTGACACAGATTGCCGCTCATAGATTCATTGAGCCAACCAGAATGGCAGGAAGGGAGGCCCCTACTTTTTAAAATATCTGTATTATGTTCTGGAAATGTCACATTAATTGCCAAAAAACTTTTGAGTAGGAGGAAGCATTGAGAGACGGTGACGTTCCTAGGGTCAGAAGCCCCATTCTTTTGAGGTGGGAATCTTAAGTTCTTCAGTTAGTTTAGTGATAAGTGTGTTGGTTCTATACTGGCTACTGAATAGTATAAACTGTGTAGTACTACTTACATGCATTTGCTCTGGCTCTGAATGGTGGGATTAGCCTAGGGTTAGCAGATGACTTGTGGGGTGCTTTTGAGGCTGTATACTGAGAGAGCTTCCAGGAATTCCTATTTTGTGCTCTCCAGCTTCACTGAGTTTGCTTATGAAGAATACTTTAATATTTCTCTTTTATGCAGACACAGGGGTGATATTACCTAGGAGAAATAGATGAATGATGTTTAGTCCGCTTGGACAAGTACCACATTTAGAATCTCTGTGATTAATTGAAACCCTACTCAGATGTCGGCTGTTGAAGTATTTGCCTCAGATTAGTTAGGCTGATCCACTTGTTCACCTTTTGGCTCAGCTTGACTCTCTAAGCATGGCCTCGGTGGTGACATATGGAGCAGCCACCTTTTCCCAACCTTAATC